TTATGAATAATTTAGTTGCATAGACTTGTTTGACCAGTGGACCGGTTTGGTTCAGGCTGTTTGACTGACCTGGTGGTCTCACCGGTTTGATCACTGGTCTAATCCTGACAAAATTGAGTAGAATACAGTGCCAAAAAGTGAAGATATTAGGGAAGATTGTGTAGCTATGTGACCTCGACAAGAGCAGTAGCAATAGCTTGATCAGTGCATGACCAATCAATTTCTCATTGACTTCTCAATGCTTAAAAAACTAAGGCTGGAAATTGACTATAGGTTGGGAGCAGATGATCATCAAGTGATCCCTCCTCATTACCATTGATATTGGTGGATAAATGACCTAAATTCCATGGCCGACTGTTCCCATGAGGTAAGCAATCACTTTCACATGAGCTTGGGTGGGATTGGTGTACTTCAACAGTGAACACAAGGCTTGGATGGTTGAAAGTGAGATACTGGAGTGTGGAGTCCTCCAAGAAGCAGTTACATGGTGCAGGTGGATGTGTATAATTTAATTGAAGGTGGACTGGGACAGCAGCCCAAAAGGAATGCTGTCAAAGATTTAACTCTTAAACACTTTCCCGCTGTCCTAGCCCTTATTGAAACCAAACAACCTGAGCCAACTCTTCAGCTCATTCGCCAATTTTGGGGCAAAAAGCCTTGCCGGTGGGTTTCATTACCGATAAATGGGGCTTCTGGAGGTATCTGGGTGGTTTGGAATCCTTCGGACCATACTCTTAATTTCTCTCGCATAGGGGAGTTCTCTGTGACCATTCTTCTATCTAGTATCCCTGATGGTATCCCCCTGGAAATTCACGGCAGTTTATGGGCCAAACTCTGCTTTCCTCAGACATAGATTATGGTCCGAATTGGACCAACCAATTTGGTGCTTGGGAGGAGACTTCAACGTTACTAGATGGTCCTATGAGAGAAACTCTTCTACCTCAATCTCTAAGAACATGAGGGACTTTGCTGATTTCATTAGCCGGAATGAATTCATCGATATTCCCCTTCAAGGAAGTCGATTTACATGGTCAAACCATGCCCCCGAACCTTTCCTCTCTAAACTTGATCGCTTTCTATTCTCCCCAAACTGAGAGGAGCAGTTCCCGGGCTCCCTAGCCTCGGTCCTACCCAAACCTATCTCTGACCACTGCCCCATTATTCTTGATACCAATGTAGTAAGAAAAGGGCCCAAACCATTTAGGTTTGAATTTGCTTGGCTACAATAGGCGTCTCTCACTACTCTTATACCAACCTGGTGGGATTCATTCTCATCCCAGGTCAAGGGTAGAGCAGGCTGTAGACTCTAGACAAAAATCCAACTTCTCAAAGCTTCTCTCAAAACCTGGAGCAAATCTATACTTGGTAAGTACTCCCAAATCAAATCCACCCGCCCTCTTGGATACCATTCAAGGATTAGACCGTCTTAAAGAATCCATATCTCTGGACAGCTCATAATTAAATCTTAGAACTCAGTCGAAAATGGAATACCTTTCTACTCTTAAAAAGGAAGAGATTTATTGGTTCCAGAGATCAAGGATAAAGTGGTTAAAAGTGGGTGACCAAAACACAACTTTTTTCCATCGAATAGCTAATTGTCATAGAAGGGACAATACTATTGCGATACTCAAAATCAACAACAGTTACATGGCGCAACCAGAACAAATTGAGTAGGCCATCATAAAGTTCTTTCAAACTCTATGCACTGCTCCTGCCGGCCCGTGGCCAAGAATTGCTGATCTTGATTTCCTGTCTTTCCCTGCTGACCGGGCAATTTGGCTAGAGAAACCTTTCACTAAAGATGAAATTTTAAAAGCAATTAATGCCCTAGCCAAAGACAAAGCTCCCGGTCCAGACGAATTTTCGATTGCTCCCTTCAAAATACTTCATTGATTTCTTTAAGGAATTCTTCCACAAGGGAATCATCCACAAAGCAATCAATGCCACCTTTCTAGCCCTTGTCCCCAAAGTTGAAGGGGCAGAGGAAATCAAGGATTTCCGCCCGATTAGTCTCCTAACTCGACATATAAAATACTGGCTAAGGTCCTTGCTTCTAGACTTAAACAACTCCTCCCTTCAGTGATTTCTTCATCTCAATCTGCCTTTATCCAAGATAGACAGATTTTGGATGGGGACTTGGTGGCTAACGAATGCATCCACTCCAGACAGTCAGCTAAGAAACCACGACTAATCTTCAAAATAGACTGGGAGAAAGCATATGACCATGTGAACTGGTCCATTCTGGAGGAGTCCATGGTTAGAATGGGGTTTAGGGAGTGATGGAGGAGATGGAAGAGAGGCTGTTACTCTCATCCCCATATTTTTGTACTCATCAATGGAACCTCGAAAGGCTTATTCCCAGCCTCTAGGGGACTCCGACAAGGGGATCCTCTATCCCCCTTCCTATTTGTCATCGTGGCGAAAGTATTCACTAGATCGCTCTCGCCTTTACCAGTCTGGCCTCCTCTCCGGCTGCAAAAGTAGTACTCAGGGCCGAACGGTGTCTCACCTGCAATATGCAGATGACACCCTGGTTTTCCTTGATCCGTCACGAAACGAAGTCGACACCCTCAAGCTTTTCCTCGTTTGCTTTCAGAAAGCAACAGGGTTCAAAGTAAACATGGAGAAATCCAAAATGATAGGAGTTGCGATGACAAAGGCAGAGGTAAGAGCCCTCATCCCAAATTGGGAGTGCAAAGTGGAGGACCTCCCCATCACATATCTGGGCCTTCCTTTGGGATTCGGGAAACCAAAAAAGGGGCTCTAGTCTCATGTTCTAGACAAGGTAGAGAGACGTCTAACGGGGTGGAAAGGTAGATACCTATCCCTCGCAGGAAGAGTTACCCTGATCAAAGACATCTTGGCAAATACCCCGGTCTACTTCATGCCCCTCTACTAGATGCCAGCACAGGTGGTTAACCGCATAGAACAACTAATGCAGAATTTCTTGTGGTCTGGACAGGCAGAGAAGACCAGATTTCACCTAGTAGCATGGGAAAACATTTGCTTACCTAGAAAGCAGGAAGGCTTAGGAATTCGGGTCCTAAGAAAACAAAATACAACACTCCTAGGAAAATGGTGGTGGCGCCTAACTTCTCAACCAGATTTTCTTTGGGCTTAGGTTTTACGATGTAAATATAGGATCCCGGAAGGAACCTGGCTGCCAAAAAGGATCCAGAGGCATAGAGCGTCAGGAGCTTGGAAATCCTTTGCCTCTTCCCTGTCACAGTTCAGAAGATATATAAGATTTCATCCTAAAGAAGGACATAGGGTAAGTTTTTGGACATATTTATGGCTAGGAAACTCTCCACTGTGCCTTGCCTTCCCATCCCTATTCTCACTTGCCTCTAACAAAAACTCCACTATTGCCGAGGAAATTCTATTTCAGGTGGCCGAAGAAGTCTAGAATCCATATTTTCGAAGAAACCTTTTAGACGAGGAAACCTATCAATTCCAAATACTCTCGAATGCGCTTTCCTCAAATTTTTCCCAACACATGGGAGAGATAAAATAGTTTGGACCCTCTCCCCCTCAGGCCTCTTCACAGTAGCCTCTTTTTATAAAAGCCTCACCCAGCCTCCCACCTATCCTCTCAAAAGTATGGTCAACCATTGCCCCACCTAAGATTCAGACCTTCAATTGGATTGCCTATTCCCAAAGAGCACTCACAGTGGACCCACTACAAAAACGAGGGATCTCGATCCCTAATAGATGTGCCCTATGTCTTTGCGAGGAGGAATCCAACCCACACCTCTTTATTCACTGTGACTTTACCCATAAACTATGGAGCCTTCTGCTGCAACTCTTTGGTATTCATTAGGTCACACCACCCACGGTCAGGGCCCTGATATGTTACAATTTGGACGCACAGCAGCCATTGGCTGGAAAAACCTTATGGAAGGCTACAATGGCTGCTTTCATATGGACAATATGGTTAGAAAGGAATAACAGAATTTTCAATGGCCTTCAATTCCAGCGCTTTTCCACAAGATAATCTCGTTGACCTCCTTTTGGGTCGGTAATCACAAGATCTTCTCGGGATTAGCGACGAACCTTTTCCTTTTTCAGTGGAAAAATATCCTCAACCACAAGCCACCAAAAATCTCGAGAGCTAACAATTGGCAACCATCTCTAGAAAGCAGCATCAAGCTGAATTTTGATGGTTGCTCTCTTGGAAATCCAGGCTCGACAGGAGCAGGGGGACATATTTAGAGACCACCAGCGAAACATCTTTCTCACCTATTTTGAGTATCTTGGCTACAATGATTCCTGGTACGCAGAAGCGATGGCTCTATTATTGGTCTCAGAAAATTCAATCCGTCTTGGGGCACACACCTGATTGTGGAAGGAGACTCTCAAAGCACTGTTTCTTGGGCAAGTGGGATGACCTTACCTCCATGACAACTGACAACAATTTTTGATGAAATTACTCACATTTGCAGAGATATGGACGTCTCCTGGAAGCATATATGGAGGACGTCCAACGAACTTGTAGATCTCATGGCGAAGGAGGGAGCTAGATTCCAAATGGAAGAGCAGGCCAGGTCCCACTCCTTTTTAGTTCAGGACCACAGCTGTACTGTGTAGCCTCCCTCGACGCGAGCATGCCACAGCCTGAATAGTATTTGTTTTGTAAAACCATTGTATATCTTTGCATATGGGCAGGTCTTAAAAGCTTTTTTGTACATGACTGACTAATGTATTTTTTACCGAAAGACACCTTGAGATGGTGCCTTCGGTTCCTCACAATTCTGTAACTATTACTGTCTTAGTAATACAATGTTAACAGTTCTTAAAAAAAAAACTTAGTAGGGATAGTGGAATTTATTGTGGTGGTTGAAGGCATTTTGGAGTTGACCATAGATATGATGAAGTCAGTGGGGTCACGCCCTGCCTTCTCGTTGTAGAGAGAGAGAGGGGTCACATGCTGCCTTCTGGTTGTAGAGAGAGAGAGGGGGCACACCTGCATTGTAGAGAGAGAGGGTGAGATGGGAGAGAGAATGAGAGGATGGAGAGAGGTTTCTGTTGGTTCTGCCCATAAAAGAGAGAGAGGGTGAGATGGGAGGAGAGAGAACGAGAGAGATGGTGAGAAGGGGCAGCGTGAGGCACGAGGTGTCAGAGCCTCTGACCATGGCACCAGGCATTAATTTGGCGCCTTTCTAAAATTTCAAAGCGGGGAGGAGGTTGCGGGGAGGAGGTTGTGCATCATCAAAGCCGTTGAAATAGGATTTGATCCTCACCATCGGGCGCACTAATAGCATATACGCGAACCGGCTAACACATGCATTTTCCTATATATATATATGAAAATACCACTGGGATATTTTCGTAGGAAATATGCTGGGGAAGAAGGCTCCATGCTCGGTTCTACAACAGCCAGAAATGCAATTACTCCCATGACATTTACCACAGGAATCAATATTGAGCGCTTACGGTGTGGGGACTCAAGACTAGTCGATCGATTGTATAATGACCAAAACATGGCTTCATGTTAAAGTGTGAGACTTGAATTCTGAATATTTGGACAAGGCTATGGTTGTGAGGATGGAGGCCTGACTATTCAGCAGTTATGCTTAGGTCAATACTGGATCAATTGCTATGAATTAGAGTTGCCGACTTTCAGGATGAACCAGACATTAGTTCTGGGAATGCACCCATTAGTTGGTGGTGGATTTGTAGTACAGTGAGAACTTGAAAGGACTGTCTTGTTGCTGAAGCCTTTGCACATTGGTATGTTGTGGACTTTGGAAACAACGATACCAATATGCTTGATAACCGTAGTTTGGACCCACATTTTTTCTTTGGTGGCCCCTCTATGAGCTTAATGTGAAGAATGTCTTTCTTTATCGGATAATATTTAAAAGGATGTCATATGGAACTTCCTCAAAGGTTGATCCTTTAGGGCATGTTTATTTGGTGGGACTTTTTGGAAGTGGGAGCCAAAAGTCCTACCAAACCATTTCTCCAGCATTTGATGGAAAAGAAATGCCGCCAGTCCATGCATGTCCAAATATGGGCTTCTCTTTGGAAGACACTCTCCCACCCCCCATGTAAAAATCTCCCTTCTTCCCGAAACGATCCTCCTTCCCTTTCCATGCCACCAAACCCCAGCTGCTCGTATCTCTCTCTCGGGTTCCAGGTCTGTATCAGGTAATCTCCCTTCCCTCTCTCTCTCTGCTCGCCTAACTCACCCTCTCTCTGCTTGCCCCTGTCTTTCTCTCATCTCATGCCCCACTCTCTCTTCTCGCCCTCTCTTTCTGCTCATTCCTCTCTTTGTGCTTGCCTCTCTCTCTACTCGCCCCTCTCTACTCGCCTCTATCTCTTTCTACTTGCTTCTCTCTGTATTCTCCCCCCTTCTTTCTCTACTAGTCTCTCACTCTCTCTCTTTGCTCCCCCCTTCTTTCTCTGCTCGTCTCTCTCTGCTCACCCCTCTTTGCTCGCATCTATCTCTCTCTCTCTCTCTCCATTTTTTGAGTGGTTCTTTGTTTCTTGCATTTTGTTGGTGCATTAGAGCAGTAAAAATTCCTATAGATAATTAAATCACTTGTTTGAGATCATGATTTGATCAGAAATTCATCTATAAGATTCTTTGATCAATTTTTTATGTGGCTTTCAATGGATGAATTGATCAAGTAAATGACACATACTGCTGAATTTGCAGCACCATGAAAAACCAGAATGTTTTTATGTGGTCATTTTCATTTTTGAAGAATTCAAATGAATTTTGATGATGTTTAAATGCATAAACTTTATTTGATTATGTTGATCATTATATGATCTGAAATAAGCTTGATCCATAAAAATAGATCAATTATTTGATGTTATCATCACAAAAATGATCATACATTGTGATTGAATGTGATGTGGTATCAAATGTAGGATATGATAATAGTATTCATAAGATGATTGCCTGAATGTTCTTGTGACTTATTGGGAATATCAATGTTTGTCACATGTAGTGTTTCAAAAAGCACTAAGCGGCACCCATGCGGCCGTGGGGGTCTAGGCTGCCTAGCTCCTAGGCGGCCCGCCCAGAATCTAGGTGACCCAGTTGAAAAAAAAGAAGATAGAAGTCACGAAGAATTTCATAATCCATAAGACCATAATCCATATTTTCATACAATGCTAAAACAGTAAAACCATACAAGCATAAACTGATAGTTTGATACATTGTAGACTGTACACGCAAAAGTTAGATAGTAGAACTAGAAACTAGAAATAAGAAAAAGAAAATATACAGTCGAGGACACAATAGTCAACACTCAATAGTTAGCATTCAACAGTCCACTCTCAACACCAAGAGTCTTCAGTCATCATCATCATCAGAAGGAATAGGGTAAGCCTCATCATATGCATCAAATTCGAGGCTATCATCCTCAGAGTCATCTCCCTCTTCAATATAACGCTCGTCCTCCTCTGTTTCTTTTGAATCTTTATCTTCCTCCTCCTCGTCTTCTACCTCTCTCTTACTAATATGTGCAGATGAGGCCCTAAGAGTCTTGGATGCTCTACCCTTTTCTATCTTTTTGTGCTTCCCTGAACTCAAATATTGTATAATCTCCTCCTTGGTAGCCTCAGAAACATTTTTACACGGGGCAACATCCCCCTTAATATTGGCAAGGTGTTTTTTAAACCGGTAAATGCCCCCATTAGTATCATTTTCACAATAATTATATTTAATACGATTTTTGTCATTCGGATTCGGGTTATAACCATACTTCCAACCCGGATCATCCCTTCTAGAAGAACCCGGAGAAGATATTTCATAGAACAAGGCTCATTTTCATCATTTTCTGATTCGTTTAAATTAAAAAATTGTCTAATCTCATCTCGAATAGCTTCAGGAACTGTTTTACAAGAAGCAACATTCCCTTTAATACCGGCAAGGTGTTTCGTAAATCGGTTAATACCCCCATTGATATCTTTTTCACAAAAATTACACCTTATACAATTTTTATGATTTGGTTTTAGGTTATAACCGTACTTCCAACCCGGATCACTTCTTCTAGAAGAACCCGAAATAGATCTATTCAAATGACAAGGATTTTGTTCCTGTTTTTGTTTTACAGAACTCATATACTTCTTAATCTCCTCTCTGATAGCTTCAGGAACATTTTTTCAAGGCGTAACATCCCCCTTAATACCGGCAAGATGTTTCTTAAACCGGTTTATGTCCCCTTTGTATCTTTTTCACAATAATTGCATCTAATGCAATTTTTGTCATTTGGATTCGGGTTATATTTCTATTTCCAACCCGGATCTTCACTTCAACTAGATCTTGAAGAAGACATTTCAAAATAAAACAAGCAATCTAAAAAATAAAGTTTTGCACTTACTTTGATTGCTCTAATTCCAAACTCCCACCTTTGAGATGTTTTCTGGTGCTAAAATAATAAAAAATACCCTCTAATAGGATTAAAAACCTCCAAAACTAAATCTATTATACTTGGGTGATGTTTGGATCCATTTTTCGTAACTTTGAGAAATACTTCGATCCAATAATAATCATAAAATTTAGTTTTTTTGAGGTTTCTCTTTCTAAAATGGGTTATTGTGGGTTTAAATTTCAAATGAACCTAAAACCCATCCTTAAAAGCCTTTATGCTTAAAAAAAACTCAATAGAACAAAAAGAAAAAAAACTCATGTCCGCCCATAGGCAGGGTGCAGGCCGCCCAGGGATGGGCGCTGGGCGGTCTCTGCTTTTTTGAACAATGGTCACATGTTGTAATTCCTGTCACCTTGAGAGAGAGAGGAGAGAGAGAGAGAGAGAGAGAGAGAGAGAGTAATGTTTACTGCATGTCGATATTCAGTAGTGTATTGTCTAGGATGTGCTATGGGATAGTAATAAATAAATCTATAAATTTTTCAATATAAATCTACATGATGTTGCCTGCAATGTTCATTTGTCGAGTCAATATATGTAAGCAGTCAGAGCTATTCATGTTGCAGGGATTCAATTGTTTGTTTGTTATATTTTTATTGTATCTGATCATGGTCATTTAGTTTTCTTTTCCTCCAGTTTGTTATCGTTACTTGTTTACATTTTGGTTTGGTAGGCTGCCTTGTTATCATTGCTCCACAGCTGACATACATTTATACCCTCTTTGAAAATAGAGTTTAGTTGGTCCATGTTATGTCCTTGAGTTTTATGTGGATTTTAGAGAGTGTTGCACATCAGATTAGCAGTTTCTGAGGATTTACAACTTGGCAAGTCTACTTGGCATTTGTCTCAGTAGCCTCGCCTCAGAACCTGCCTAAGTCTTAGATGAGTGTCCCACGATTCAGGTGTTCTACGTTATAGAATATTTTTGTAAGATTAGGATGGTTGATTGAAGAACCATCTGTCTTATTGAGTCGACTCAGATGGGGACATTAACATTTTTTTTTTTGAAACAGAGATGGGCACATTAACATTTCTGACCTGACTCTGTTTTTAAACCATGGTACTTTCAATAGTTTATTTCCTAATGTTATTCCTTTTGCATTGTCTTAAGAATCACTATGTGATGTTGTAATCTATTTTTGTCCAACCTCCAATAAAGGTTAATTCAGGCAGTTTGGTGAATTTTTTTGTACTGCCTTGTACATATTTGGCTGGCGCCTAGTCTCGATAAGGAAATCAAATTGTGTGCCAAACCCTAACATCGCCGAACTAAATGATAAGACAATGTTAATTTCTGTAATTTTAGTAGGCATAAAACCCAGATGGTCAAATCAATGGTTTGAAATGTGGAAGCTCTACCAGAGCAGCTATGCGGGCTCTCATTCATGAGGTGTCCCGTACAGAATTTAGGCGGTTAGGGAGCGTCAGGGGTTTGGATTTGACATCAAACCCCCCTACTTTCTCTTTTTAAGGAAACTGTTTGTGTGTTTACAGTCCTTTTGTTCTGCATACATAATATTGCTGTGTGTTGTTTAAGCGTACATTGTGTATTCATCATTCATGGGTTTGAAACTTGATTTTTTTTTTTTAACAAATATATAAAATAAAAACTTGCAAAAATATAAAAGTTGGACTTGAAATAAAATAACAATTAGTCACTACTCATAGAACATTGAGCATATGGACCTCCGCTGTGTTTGGCCTTATCGATTAAACAAACCATACAAACAAAGATATGGTCTCATAAGTCCTTAGTCCACTCCTAAGTTCCAAGAGGTGTTCCAAGAGTTTTGAGCAACTAAACAACTTGTTAATGTCTGCTTCATGAGAATAACCACCATCTCCATTATGATCATCCTGTATTTAATACCAAGCCATCATAATCTCCTTGATATAGTGCTCCACCTGCTTTGTCTCCTTCAGGTCAGTCTCTTCCTCCTTTGTCTCCTTCAGGTCAGTCTCTTCATCTCTTCTTCTCTTGTCCTCAATCTCTTAGATCTGGTGGCCACATAGTACTTGAGCAGGCTCACGAACATGGCCTCAGCTTAAACTATCTCTAGGGAGCGCCTGATCCTCTCTAGCATTGACTAGCTACTCACTATGGTCATCCATCTCTCTCATAGTGCTGGAATCAATATGGAAGTGCTCCTGGTACGCTCTTCTTCAACATTTAATTAAACTAGACATATAATAGATTATTTAGTCTCTTTTACTTGTTTTAGTTCTTTTTTTGTATGAGCCTGTTCGATATGCTGAATGCATGATAGGGAAAAAGTAATATAGGTTAGGCCATATGGGTACTGATTCTGATAGGACCATGTGAATTAAGAAATTACCAACTCAAATGAGCTAAAGCTACTCTCCCAACTAGATGAGATATATGTCAGCATCAGTATGCGGAGGGCCATCCTCTGCAAGTGCTTGGCTTTTCCCCATTGTGGCCCACCATGTAGCTATTACATAGTAATAACATATCTTAAAGGCAGATTTACAGAGTATGATACTTGAATCACAAATTCACAATGAAAATAAGCACAAATGTTACCTGGTTGGAGTTTAGTCCTCTGTCTTATTGCTATATTTATCCAAAGTCTCCATCGTTGTGAAGTTTTGGAGATTCACATTGGGATCGAGTATCATGTTGCACATTTTAAAACATTGATGATCAAACAAATCTTGAATGTAAATGATGCAATTAATCAAATCCCATTCTTGAACAAAATAAACGAATTAAACTTAAAAATAAGTCCACAAAAAGTCTAAGAACATTAACCCAAATTCTAAAACAATCACAAAACCAAAATCCAATATTAAATAAAGTCACCCAAACCCGGATTTGAACAAATACAGAAAATTAAAAACTCAAACTTGAAAAAATGCACAAAATCAAATCCCTATATTGGAAAGAGTCGCAAAACCGAAACTCAATCTTGGAAAGGTAACCAAGAAACCCAAATCTGTGCTAGAAACAATTTATAAAACTAAAAGGTCCAAAAGCTGATATTCAAAAATAGAAAAAGAAAATCACTTATCCAAATCTTGATATTGAGAGAAATCACTAAACCTAAATCGGATCTTGAAGGAAGTCATTAAGAAACCCAAATCCATTCTGGAAATATTTAATCTAAATGTGGTGTCTGGCCATTCTTGTTGGTGCAGTGCCAAATTGGTCCTTGTATTCTATATTAATCAAACTTTGACAAACTCTATTAGGTTCCTTCCTAGCCAATCAATATATATGATTATGGCCCTGCCAGGAACCTACCCTTGACAGTGATTCCAGTTTGGGAGCAGATCACTTAGATTAAGTACACTCAACCCATGCTAGAAAAATTCAGAAAACTTAAAGGTCGAAAACTGAAATTTGAGACTGAAAAGTGGGTAGGGACGCCTGGCCAGTCACATTGATGCAATCTTGGAAATTTTGACACTTGGATTTGTAAGAAGAATCAAGCAACCCATGTCCCAGTTTTAATGGTTTTGAAATGAAGATTCATACCATAAAATTTCACGTTGCTATTGGAGACATTTCAAGGTTTCTTTTTGTGGACCCATATTAAAAAAAGTAGCTCACACTGTATTTATATTGATCCATAGTTGTTCATGACTTCATGTTACACATGCCAGCACATAAGTGCCTCTGCATGTGTTCATTCATTGGAAAATGTTTTGATGGGACTGCAGCCCTATCAAAATAAGTAAAGCCTCACCTCAAAACTCACTGAGAATTGCAGTTCTGGTGTTGGAAAACCTTCAAATCGATCATCTTGGCCTTGACCATTATGGTTGTGAAACAAAAAAAGGATTTCAGGCCCTTAAAATAATGTATGTTGTAACATATTATGTAGATTGTCCATTCCATTCTAAAAATAAGTGATCACAGATCTGCAAGATCTGTACTACTCTTTTAGCTTCAAATTTCATGGTCGGTGTTGGAAATTGATTTTAGAGCTATTAAGGTGATATCCGAAGCCCACAGTGCTTTCCGGATGAGGATTCGAGGTGAGGCTTTACTTTGTTTTCATAAAGCCTAGGCCTTATAGAAACTGCATCATTATTTATTGGGTGTGGTTTGTATAGAGCCGAGGCTCTAAACAATTAAATTAGAGCCGACCTTCAAATAGTACCAAGAAATATGGTTTCAATACTATAAATCTTTGTGATAGCTTTAAAAGATCTTTTCATCTTTAGTCATAAAATTTAAAATTTCAAAAATAGTGTAGATCGAGTAGATCTATGAAAACTAAAAAATCTTGAAAATTGATGGTCCAAAAATGCGTTACAAGATGCACTATTTCCAAAACTTGAAATCCAATTTTTTCTCATGTCCATGCATCTTGATGTAGAAATAATCAATTTGAGGGTATTTGAACATCAAAACAGCCTCTTCTAGTAAAATTTTTGAGGTGGGCTCTGATTTGATTGTTTAGAGCCTCGGCTCTATATAAACTTTTCCCTTATTTATTTGCATGTACTGATTTGTTTTGCTATTCTTTTTGGTACAGTGCCAAAGTGGCCGTTGTATTCTACATTAGTCAGACTTTGACAAACCCTAATAGGGTCTTCCTAGCTAATCATATTCATATATATATATATATATGATTATGGCCCTGCAAGGAACCTTCAGTTTGACAGTGATTTCAGTTTGGATAGAGAGAAGCTAGATTAAGTATGGTATTTTATTGTGGAATGGACGCCGGGAATTTTATCTTTGTTAGCCCTTTTCTTGAAAGATAATTTTTTATTTTTTGGTTTAGTAAAGCTGCAAAATAAGTTATATTTATTTGGTTTGAACACTTCCAGATTCTTTCTTAGCAGAATGTCAGAATACGAAAGTGTGGTCAAGGGGAAGCTGAAGTTGAAAGGAAAAGCTTTAGATGTTAAGGTAGGGGGTTTGAAAAAGAAGAAGAAGAAGAGCAAAAGTAGCTATGAGTCCATATCTCAAACAACATTAAGTGAGCTTTCATCAGGTTTGCTTCATCCTATAAACTACAATAAATAAGTGGCTGGCTATGATGAGACGCTATTTTCCATTGATTATATTGGAATACATTTGTTTGTGAAATAATTAGGGTTGCTGCCTGTATCAATAACTAAACATGATTTACTTGTAGAACAAAACCTAGACGATTTTGTTCTACTGTTTCTTTCAGGCAATAGGATGGTCTCTCTCTCTCTCTCTCTCAAAAGAGAAACTTGATGTCGTGGTAATTGGCCATCTTAGATATGGTTGAAAGACAGCATCTTGTTCTCTGAATATCTTGAAACCAATGACACCTCATATTTTTCTCGTACATCTCTCCAAAAACTACAATTTGACTGAAGGTTGCTCCATCTCCACCGATTAAAAAAAAGAAGAAAAAACAGTCTCTCTCTCTCTCTCAATGTGGGGGTTCTATGTGCACAGGAACACAAGAGCTATCATCTGAACCGACTCATGAAGAAAGCGAGGATAAGATGGAGAGTGAAGTGAATCCATCCCTTTATGATGATCATCTCACACCAGCTGAAAGGCGATATATTGAACAGAGGGCAAACCTTGATGTCAATAGGCTGGCCAAGGAAGCCGATAAATCACACAGGGATCGCATTCAGGACTTCAACCAATATCTTGCTAACCTCAGTGAACACTACGACATTCCGAAAGTGGGTCCTGGATAATGTGCTCTCTCTCTCTCTCTCTCTCTCTCTCTCTCTCGTGTGTGCGTGTGCCTGTGTGAAACTGTCCATGGAGGATATTAATATTGAAAATTGAAAATATGTACTATGTCAAATTCTGAATTTGGATGTTTTTCCCAGGATCTGTATTTCCTTTTTTTGATTTCTGGTATCTTTTCCTCAAGGGTGCAACTAATCATTCCTGTTTCTGATCATTAAAAATGAGAGATTCATGTGTATATTGAAATTTGATACCGTATTAGGACCAAGAGTTGGATTTCTTTTCACAAGGGTCTCTGCTATTGTGGTGCCTTGCCATGCATCCTGATTTTTACATGAAAGCTAAATATGGGAGAATATGTGGATGAATAGAAAAGCTTGTGGACCCATTAATATGCAGTGCTTTTCTAGAGGTCCATTTTAGAGATGGATTTTGGATAGAAACAAAGGAAAATTGTTTCATGCGGGTTGGACCGCATTTCTACGATATGCGGTCTGGAGGTATAAAGCATCTATCTTTAAGATGGATGCTCCATCTAGAAACAATGGTAACTAACGGTTCAAATGTTTCTTTAGTATAATTATTATTTTCAATTTTTTTTCATATTCATGATTTTCATGTTAAAGATTATATATTCATTAAAAATTAAGAGTGAATTATATTTAAAAAGCATATTTATTATCAAGCCCGTATTTCTACAATATCCTAAAGTTGCTCTAGATCATGACTTTGCAGTAGTGCAGATCTGATGGTCTGTAAAATATTAAAATGAGCTATGTCAAATGGTCTCACACATGGCGTTTAAAGTAATTTATTTTTAAAATTCAATATCTATTTTTTTTTAGATTCATAATCGCGGTGGTTGAAACTAATTTTGTAAAATTTTGGGTTCATAACCGATCTCTAAGCGCACATTTGTCTTGTGTTTTGTGTGACTATATTTTCGTAAGAAAAAATTCTCATGCGGTTAAGTGGGAATGTTTTTATACCAATGAATCCGTATGCATCTTTTGACACCAATTGACAGGTAATTGGTGTGAATACGAGGGAATGTTTTAAAAATATTTTCACGCGTAAGACTTGGAGCTTAGAAAATGCTCCAATGATATTCTCACTTAAAAATCCAATTATTTATTTGAGGGACAAGCGATCTGCCAAAGTGAATCTATTGCTTCTCCTTGTGATGCGCTCGAGGAAACATCAGTCTTTAAAAACTGGAACTCGTATGGGCCTGCCTCGTTGTTCTTTCTTCCTAATCGTTTCGCTTCCTGCTTCTCCTTGTGATTCGCTTCCTATCTGGTATTATGGGTAGATTTGGATGCAGTTCTTTTCCGGCCTGGAACTCCTCTTCGAGGTCTCTCAGTGGAACAGGAGGTGGTGCAAAAGGCTTTTCTGAGCATCATAAGGTCAGCGGCTTGATTGGATTGTGGAGCTCGGGCTCTTCGAAAGCCCCAGTTGTACCAGGAGGTCGCCAATCTATCCTTAAAGGAGCTCGAGGTCCGTCTGGCTGGTCTTCTTCTTCTTCCTCCTCAAATTGGAAAGAGGTCTGTTTTGGCCCTCAACCTACCTATACCCCTGCCCTGCTCCTTTGGCATCATGTGCCTCTGTTGATGGAATCCTTGTGCTAGAGGTTCGGAAGGGCTCCACTGCACAGTGGGACTCCCAGGCCCTTGTCTGTTCCTTTAGCCCTCCCGTGGAGGACTTGAGCATGCTTCAAGACCGGACGACTGGTACTTGGAAGTGTCCCTTGACCTGTAGGATTATTCCTAACTATAGAGCTCTTATGTTGTTTGATACCTTTGCCGATATGGGTCTGAAGTAGCATTTCTGGAGATTCAAAAGAGTGCCAACTTATTTTTAGTTAAACCTCCTCCTTTGGTTTGAAGGATTTAAGTATTCCCATTCATGTATGGGCCAAGGAAGTTTTTGCCTTGGTGGCTCAAGCTTTTGGCCACTTGGTTGAAATTGACTGGTTCACTTTGGCAGGTCCTTCGTTGGGTTCTTTTAAGGATGAAGGTTCGGCTAACTCCAATTCTCCAGCTTCAACTTCCTCAACTCTACTGAACTACTGATTCAGTTTCTGGTAATCGAGAACCAATGTCCGAGCCTGACAACCAAGAACCAACAATGGAATGGAAGGTGGTTTCTAGAAAGAGAAGAGCTAAGCATTTATGGAAAGGAGTAGTTGGAGACGCCCCTGGTACCTCAACGGCACATTTTCAAATTCAAAATCTTGGTGTGGCTATGTATGCACGAGAAACTCTTATTAGAGAGCTCAACGGAATCATCAATGTGGTACCTTGGGCATCAACCCACACCTCCTCTGTAAACCTATCCTATCTCCAAAAAGACGCTACGTCAACTGATGGAGGTCCCAACTCAGGATGACAGATGCCAACAGCTACGTGTGGGAGTCTGGCGCTTAAAATTCGAAGAGTCATCATGCTTGGGATAACCCCCTATATTGCATCACTCTTCCTTTCAACCCAAATATAAGTATTCGTATATCTTACACATCTCGATAATTTTTTGAACTTGAAATTTTATAATTAATTTTAAAGTTAGCGTGCACATTTTCGATGCTTCCTGAACTACGATTTGAGGTGAGGTTTTCTTTTCTTTTCATTAACGCCTGAGCTTTATAGATATTGGATCTTTTTTAAAGTTAGTTTAATTTCAATAATGGGACGTCGCATCCGGGACATAATAGCAGTAACCTAATTATTGTTCAGTATTTAGAAGGCCACTTTCGTTAATAAAGTATTTTAAGGATGTGGTCGGTATAAGGTTGCAAAATTAAACAATTCAAGTGAGGCACACGTTCGAACTTTGTCAAGATGCAATTTTGGTGACCGGAATTCTTAGGATTGCGCTAGAATCTATTTTCGTATCTAATTATAAAATTATAAACTGTAAAAATAGTTCAAATTAAGCAGATCTATAAATATATGTAAATCTTGAAAGTGGACTTTCCCGATAATGTATTACAAAACGTATTATTTTTAATATTTAAATTTTTATTTTTTATTTTTTATATCCATACATCTCGATGTCAAAATGATCGCTTAGATAGTTTTCCAACATCAAAACAACCATTTTCATTGTAATTTTGAGGTGCACCTTGATTCTAAAAGTTAAAGCGTCAACTTTATATTCTTATTTTCAAAAGAAAGTTATGCTAAAAAGGGAAAGCGTGTTATATTTTTATTTTATGTTAATGTCCTTTTTGTTTTTTATTTTTCCAATATAACCCAATTAAAAAAAGAAGAAGTAAAATGTAAAATATGGAGAAATTTCCAAGTGCTGCTAATTATAACGAATATTAGCATTCGCCTTTTTAAAATAACCTCAAGAAACTTATTTTTTTTTAAAATGAAAGGAAAAATATCAATTAAATGGTTAGACTACATTACAAAATCATTAAGATGGTCAAATGATCTCATTTCATGCTAGAGTGATTTCTTTTAAAGTTTTATTTTGCTGAAGTACCTCATTAAAATATGTAATTGAGCTGTTCAAAATTGGGAACCCTAAATATGCAAAGGCTTTTTTATAATTTATGTCATTTCAGTACTCCGAGTCAAATGATGATAATTTCTTTGGTTGAGGGTTTTCAATGGAAAAAGTGAGTTCCATGTTGTTAACCTTGAACAACTAGTGGTGTTCTCATAATCTAACAGTTAGTTCTGTGTTGATAACCTCGAACAACTTGGCGTATTATCATAGTTTACTTTGTGCTACTTACGTGGGGTAAAATTATTTAAATACCCCTGCTTATTCAGTATTTCAATCTTTTATGCATTTTTTAAAGAGGTATTTTTGTAAAAAAAACTTAAATATAACAATCTCAATGTCAAACGGTACGATTTGGCCAACGTCATGAATTTGTAAAGTAGTTTTGGCTATTTAAGTGATAGGTTCCCAAAATAAAAAATGCCAAATTATATCACTTTGTTAAAAATTTTATTCAAAAAACTTCAAATTATCCTAAAGTTCTTCTTCCATGTTAGTTGTATATATCTCTTTGTTCATTGGACCTAATCCCTCCTCTTTTGTTTTTTTTTTGAACTGGAACTTTATTTTTTATTAACAAATTTCTTCCCCTCTTTGTTCTTACATTTTATCTTCTGGAGCCTTGTCATAGGGTTTAGTATTCGTATTTGGTTTACGACTTTCTCCCCCTCTTTGTTCTTACATTTTAACTCAATCAAATTTGGTTTACGAATGAGATTTTGATGCCAAAAAAAGGTCTCATAGAAGAAAATCCAATAATCTATTAATTGGGAAATTAAAGAAAAAGCTTACAAGCCATGCTTCAATGGCTCTGTAGTGGAAAATAAGATACACATCCCTTGAATTAAATATAATTTAAAAATAAGAATAATTTTATCATACATCAGTTTTATTTGTCAAATAACAAAAAGCTTAATATTGATTTGGAAAGGTTTCTATACTTCCCTTATTGTGTGGATGACGTCAAGTGAGCCACTGACCCTTTAATCTAGATCCGATGCTTCAGAGTATCTTACTTTAAATTTTTTTCTACAAACTTAATGCGGCGCACCCAAAAAAATATTTACAAATATATTTAATGAAATACAATAACCAAAATACCCCTGAAACTTTTAGGGGAATTTTGGTCATTTTATTTTATTGAGAATATTTTTTTTTACATATTTTTACAGGTGTGAATTTAAGAGAGGAGTGAATGCCCAAAATTTTGTGTCAAAGTGTTTTGTAGAAAAAATTTAAAATAAAATAGTGTGGAGGCGTGATCTTGTGATTGAGGCCATCCCATCTGTCCGCTCAAAATGGATGGTTGGATAGAAGAAAGTATATAAGTTTTATACGGTAGGAGTAGTATAGAAAGCTTAACCATATTGATAAAGGATACAAAGTCTTTAACATTGATATTCGATAGGAAATGAAAATTACTTTTACGTTTTATGTACAGTCACAATGTTTTTATTTTGCCATCCCATAGTCACTTCACCTAACACATACACATCTATATCTATCATTTTGTTCCCATTACTTGAGTCATTTTCAAAATAATCATATCCTCTTTACATATTTTTTAGTTCTTTGTAGTATCAATTTTGCAGGCTCACAGATTATTGATGTTAGGCCTTTTGTTACATATGATCTTCTCTCTCTTTCCTTAGCCATTTCAAAATGGGGATTGAAACTACCAAATCAACATGCTGACACTTACCCCTACAAGTTTTGAACCTTAATCAGTTTTGGAATTCAATGAGCAACTGTCTT